ATAGGCGACAAAGCAGAAAAATCTATTATTTGGACGAGACATGAGTAAATGCAGGTCACACAGTTAAAAAAACCTGGATAGACAAAAACGTAGTGAGTAACTGACAAGCAAGCATTGAAGGTTTGTCAACAGGTCTTCGTGGACCGTCAGGGAAAGGTCAAAGATTGATCGTAACTCATATTGGTAGCGATAGTGGCTTTTTAGAAGAGTGTGACTTGATGTTCATCTCTAAGAAAGGAGGTGATTACCATGACGAAATGAATGCCAGCTACTTCGAGAGCTGGTTTCAAGGGGTGCTTCAGCGAGTTGAGCCCAACTCTGTGATCGTCATGGATAATGCTTCCTACCATAGTCGTCGAGCCGAACGTGTACCGACTATGGGATCTCGAAAAAGTGACATGCAGCAATGGTTGCGCGAAAAAGGAATCCCGTTTGACGATTCATGTGTGAAAGCGGAATTGTATGAAAAAATTAAACAGCACAAACCTGCGAACATTAGTTACGTGACTGATGAGATCGCCCGTCAATGTGGTATCACTGTGCTGCGGTTACCGCCCTACCACTGTGAATTGAACCCAATAGAGCTCATCTGGGCTTAAGTGAAGGGTTATATTGCGCGCCATAACACAACCTCCAAATTACCAGACGTTAAGGTTTTATTTGAGACTTCCATACAGCTAGTAACGCCCGAAGCTTGGCAGAATGCTATCCGTCATGTTGTGAAGGAAGAAACAAAAATGTGGCAGCTTGACCACCACATCGATATCATCATAGAGCCAGTTATAGTCCATTTCGACGAGGAAAGCGATAGCGACAGTTTATTACTGTCAGATATAAGTGGAAGCGACGATGAATAAAGGTAATTCCCAAGTTTTTGACTTACAATATGCTTCAAACCACTCTTTATTAAGCATGTGACAAATCTAGTTCACCCATGTTAAACATTCATACCCCGCCTATGAACAGCCGACTACTGGTAGTTAAGTGATGTTCACATGAACATCGATGAGTCATTACAGTTTTAGATAGTTATAGTATAGTTGTAAGTAGTTCGCACGTAAACATCAGCCCTATCGTCACGAAACCATATATAAAAAGGCTTTAATTCATTTTAGCATTGCTAGTTACACCACTTTCTGTTAACCTATTTTTTCTTATATTAAATCCCTTAAAACCCAAATTCGTCTTACAGGTTCCGCAAATTATTATCAACAACACCCTCGCTAACACGCTCAAACAAAAATTCCCTGAAATCGAATAAACTCTAAAATTACTGAGCATTGATCAACGTATTCTACTTGATGATAGCCAACCTAATACTATATTCCCACGACCAAAAAATTGTCCTAGATGAAATGAGATACAGTAGCCACATCTGTATATACTATATACCAGTATAGTTGGCTACACCGCCATCTATGAGACACTAACCTTTTCAAAGCAGATTTCTAATTAGCACGACGACGAGTGACTCATTTTATTTGGATGAGCTTTTGACGATTATAAAAATTGCCGATGCGATTCAGGAATTATCGAGACCCACCGGGAAGCACCTGTCGCCATCTACCAGCTTCGAGGAGGAATCGAGTTTTTGTCAGAAAATGCTGAAGTGCATCAGGAACCGTCGATTCATGGCATAAATATCCGACCAGATGTCAGTAGCAGTCGGGACAGAAAGTGAACGAGCAGCGACCGATGCGTTCGACATGGCTATAAATATGTAATAAACTAGTTGCAAGTGTTATAGATTAGTGTTAAAATAATAAATTAGTCTTTGGACAGTAGAAACGTGGCTTTCGTTCCATTATTTTCGTTGCATGATATGGAAGTGATTTAATCGATATTGAAAATGATTCGAGTTTCGTGAAACTCGATCTAGAAGGCTCCTCTTTAGTAGGGTGCGTCATCTATTACTTTTTTTCTATTTGAAAAGTCAACACGCCTTTTACGAGGTGAAATCGAATTTTTTTATTGATAAATGAAGGTTGGTTAATGCCATTTATGTATGAAAAATAACATCAGTCATGTGACCATCGCGGCATCGTTTACAGGCCAACATCCGAACATCAAAATTTTCAAGGACTTTTCCCAGAATATGGCCGCAATTTCAGTCCGAATTTTGCGCTTTAGGTCTTGAATTATCCGGGGATCATTCGCATACATTTTCCTTTCAAAAATCCCCAAAGAAAATAGTCAATAGGTGTTAAATCGCACGATTTCGGGGGCCAACTGACATCTGAATTTCGTGAAATTATGCGGTCTTGAAATTTCGTGCGCAATAAGGCGATTGTTTGGCGAGATGTGTGAGCAGTTGCTCCGTCTTGATGAAACCAAAGATCGTCGGCACAAATACGATCCAATTGTGGCCACTAAAAGTCTGTTAACATTCCGCGATAACGTTCCCTGTTGACGGTAATGGCCTTTTCTTCGGCATCTTCAAAGAAGAATGGTCCTACGATGCCACCAGCCCATAATCCGCACCAAACAGTCACTTTTTCAGGATGGAGAGGTTGTTCACGATATTGGTGTGGATTTTCAGCCCCCCAGAATCTGCAATTTTGCTTATTTATTATGAAAGTTATTATTATTTAACAATGTAGTTGTATTATACAAAGTGTGGCTTTAAATTAGGAAATGGTCGGAACCTCAGTTTAATTAGATAGTAGATTTTGAAACTTTGCTTCCACACCAATTGATGAAATTTTACTGTAATAGCGAAAACATGTTTTATGGGATATGTATACTAAGTGACATATAAATCCGAACACCCAGTTTAAATGGTTTTATTTTAATAAAAGTTGGTGAATGTATTTATCTTACTGTAAATAATAAGTGAAAAAATTTTCAGCCTTATCAGTTGGACATTCCGGTTTTTATACTGTTTTTTTTTTAATTCACTAACGCTCTAAAAATGAATATGTCAGCCGTAGTAAAGAATCAACGTTGGCGGATTTTGGTTCTTGACATCCTTTACGATCGGTTACGATGCCTAGAGTACGGAGACCTGTACGATTTCGTCAATTTAGTGAGTTTGATAGGGGCCGTATAGTGGGACTTCGGGAAGCTGGTATTTTTTTTCGGGCAATTGCAGTTAGAGTGCAAAGAAGTGTAGACACTGCGGTTAGGTGTTGTCAGGCATGGCTTCGAGAATGCCGTACGCAAAGAGCAAGGGACACTGGACGCCGTCGTAGAACAACAGACCGTGAAGATCGCCGCCTAACATTATTGGCCTTAAGGGACCGTTTCTCCACTACCAGGTCCATTGCAAATGAATGGTTTGCAGAACACGGAAGACCTATTGGCATGCGAAGTATTTACCGACGAATGAGAAGTTTTGGCTTGTTTTCATACCGGCCACACTGGGTCCTCCCTTTAACTCGAGAACACCGACGTAATCGCCTAGAGTGGTGCAGACAACGGTCACTCTGGGATCAGGAATGGAACAGTATTGTCTTTAGTGACGAGTCTCGATTTTGTTTAGACGATGGTCGTGCCAGGGTTAGAAGGCGACGTGGTGAAAGGAGGAATCCACAGTTTTTTGTTGAAAGACATGTTCATCACACTATTGGAGTTATGGTTTGGGGTGCTATAGCTTATGGTTCCAGGTCACCTTTCATCTTCATCAGAGGTAACATGAACGCGAAGCGTTATATCCACGAAGTTCTAGAACCCCATTTTTTACCCTATCTTGACACACTGGCAGATCCAACTTTCCAACAAGATAATGCCCGACCACATGTTGCAAGAGTCACAATAGACTTCTTTCAACATAATGATGTCACATTGTTACCATGGCCACCAAGAACTCCCGACTTATCCCCAATTTAGCACGTGTGGCATATGATGGGTAGGAGATTGCTTAATTTGCAACGTCCTCCTCAGACTCTAGAAGCACTTCGCGAGGAGTTGGTGGTTGCCTGGAATGAGATACCACAGGAGGACATTGACCACCTGATCAGAAGCATGCCTAGGCGCGTTGGAGAGTGCGTAGCACATCAGGGTGCATCCACATATTATTAAAGGTCAAAGGGCTTTAAAGCAGTGCAATCATTTTGAAATTTTTATCATTTACTTATTATGCTTCATTAAGTAATTATCCAAAATTTTATTAAAATAAAACCATTTAAACTGGGTGTTCGGATTTATATGTCACTTAGTATATTAGAAAAAAATATGTGAATCATGTCTGTCTGTGATCTGGAGTCTACTGTTTGTACGGTATTCCTCAGTTCATCTATGCTCACATACGCATATCGATCAGAGACTGACGTGCCATTGCCTGAATGCCAAAATCACCACTTTTTCCCGTTGCCGAGTCGAAAAGAAAAATTGCGCGAGAATGTGGCTCGTCACTTCCCGATCCTCCATAACGGATAGTGCTACGGCTAGGACACCACCGGCATTGCTGAGTTCGGATCGGGCCCTTCACAGGTGAAGAAGATCGCGTGTTTCTGGACAGCTGGTGTTCCTGTAATCACTGACGTAGATATGCGAAATATTGATGTTATGGCTAACAGGGGGATAATACTACAGGGATCACAAATTTCTAAATAATAATAAGCGGTCTTTCACTGATACCAAAAATGCCTTGCTAGTGTGAAAATGTTCAGGAGACTATGTTACGTAAAAAAAAATTTAATTTTTTCGTTTTTGCTCCTAAGCTCCGCAGACAGAGGACCGTCTTTCTAAAACTACAAAGCTATTTCTTCCTTTGTATAGTAGTAATCTTGTGTGAATATTTCATCAAAGTCCAACCGGTACATTCCAAGTTATAGTATTGGGTCAAGGATTAGCGAGCAGACCGATGAAAATGAGTGACATGATTTTTCGTAATATAACATTTGAAAAAAAAAGTATATCATTGTAGACACTTTTCGGGACTAGGATACTTCCTCTTCAGTACAGTGGGAAGTAAAACGACTACTTAATCAGCAAGAATCTTTTCACTTCGCTTGATTCTGGTGACCAGATACGATAATCCATATCTTCTTCCTTTCCAGATGGAAGGCAGGCGTAGCCGCTTCCTTGAACTACATCGATCTCAGTACAGCCAACACGACCTCACCTCTCACCCCTTACCCCAGCTGGATGGCCAACAAACTACCTAAAGAGGGCGAACATCCTCCTGAAGACCACGTTGTCAGCGTGTTCCGGGCTTTCGTGGACTCCTGCGACCGCCTGTGGGTGATGGAGACCGGATTGGCTGATATTCTGGGCATTCCCCACCAAGTGACGTCACCTGCCATCGTGATCTTTGATTTGAACACAGATAAGGTGATCAGAAGGTACCAGTTGAAGCCGGAGGATATCAAGGGGGATGACTCTTTCTTCGCGAATATTGTAAGTACTTAGATGGTCCCTCACAATCTCCACTACTCGTTTATAGTGGACCAGATCCTCAAGGTTATTAAGTAAAAACCTATACAATCTCAAAGAAAAGCCGCCAGAATGTTACTTGCTTACTAGATGTTTCCTTGTGTGCAAATACTTCATTCCGCGTTTACTCGCAATGAGCGCTGGGGGAGTCAGCAACAGCGTCACCCATGGAGAAATGACTCAACGAGACTCTCAATGACCATGCTGCCTGTCAGTTCCCCAGCATGCTTTCTTGCTTGCAGAATGTCGGGATGGTCCGAAAAGTTGATCTCTGAGAAGATGTGACAAAAAGATCGGTTGAGTAGCAAATCGCATCAGGCTAATTGTGTGGTGAATACATACATTCGACAACATGTATATAAAATCAGTGATATTTGCTATATGAAAAAGTTGTTACTGAATATGCTACCCATGATATACTTCGAAGTTGAGTCATTTATTTTAACAGTGAGTAGATCTGATCAAAAGAAATGTTTTTTCCTTTACCATTTTTTTGGTAAAATTAAAGTAACAAAGTTATAGCCCTTTGGAAGTTTGAGTACCGCCCTGTCTCAATAATAATATTATGTGCTCGTGTTTGGCAACAACGGATATAATCCGCCTTATCGGTTCATCGCATCGGAAACAAAAAAGCGAAAGAATTTGGAACGATGTTTTTACAATTATTATATTCAGTTGTATACAGTCAGTGTCAGTCGGTAACGCGTAAGTGAATAGTGGTGTCTGTTGCGTGGCTCAAACGAAATAAGAAATGGCACATGTTTATGCGGATCGGTTTCCCAATCGAGTGCAACCAACCCCTCGTGCCTTTGTTAATGTAGTACAACGGGCTCGTGAATCAGGTGACTTAAGACCGCACAGGGGACGGCATGCCGGTGCTCCAAGACCTCACGATCAAATACAGGTCCGCACTGAAATACTTGTCGGGAGGATACTTTATAAAACAAGGTAAAACTTTTTTTTTATTTTTTTTTTATTTTTACACACATATTTTGGTTTATCTTCCTTCTACAATCATTATCTGAAAATTAATGACTCAACTTCAAAGTCACCCTGTATATTAGCTGTAGCAGACTGGTTATTTATGATTTATGTGTGGTCCTTCAAAGTTACAAATTACGATTTTCCATGGTTTTCTGCGTCTTCAAAAGCTTTGAGGGGCATTACGGGAAACCATCACCGCGTCCTCGTTGTGTTTAATTGAGCCACATCACAGAAAAAAATAGGGATGACGCATCACACACAAAACATTTTCGCAGTGCCTCACATCTAGGCGGTGATTTGTATTTTCTATTGGCATCCCAAAATTAAATGAAATGAAATAAATAAAAAAAATAATGTAATAACCTTTTCAAATTAATAAATATTCCTGTTTGTAGCTTATTTTCTAACCTGTTAGTCGTAGTCTGTACCAATCAGGGATTTGCTTTTCCCATCTCTCTCATTTTTGCAAATCCGGCAAATTTGCTAATGTATACTAAGTGACATATAAATCCGAACACCCAGTTTAAATGGTTTTATTTTATTAAAATTTTGTATAAGTACTTAATGAAGCATAATAAGTAAATGATAAAAATTTCAAAATTTAAAGCCCTTTGACCTTTAATAATGTGTGGATGCACCCTGATGTGCTACGCATCCTCCAACGCGCCTAGGCATGCTTCTGATCAGGTGGTCAATGTCCTCCTGGGGTATCTCATTCCAGGCAACCACCTACTCCTCTCGAAATGCTTCTAGAGTCTGAGGAGGACGTTGCAAATTGAGCAATCTCCTACCCATCATATCCCACACGTGCTCAATTGGGGATAAGTCGGGAGATCTTGGTGGCCATGGTAACAATGTGACATCATTATGTTGAAAGAAGTCTATTGTGACTCTTGCAACATGTGGTCGGGCATTATCTTGTTGGAAAGTTGGATCTGCCAGGGTGTCAAGATAGGGTAAAAGATGGGGTTCTAGAACTTCGTGGATATAACGCTGCGCGTTCATGTTACCTCTGATGAAGATTAAAGGTGACCTGGAACCATAAGCTATAGCACCCCAAACCATAACTCCAACAGTGTGATGAACATGTCTTTCAACAAAAAACTGTGGATTCCTCCTTTCACCACGTCGCCTTCTAACCCTGGCACGACCATCGTGCATGCCTAAACAAAATCGAGGCTCGTCACTAAAGACAATACTGTTCCATTCCTGATCCCAGAGTGACCATTGTCTGCACCACTCAAAGCGATTACGTCGGTGTTTTAAAGTTGGATCTGCCAGGGTGTCAAGATAGGGTAAAAGATGGGGTTCTAGAACTTCGTGGATATAACGCTGCGCGTTCATGTTACCTCTGATGAAGATTAAAGGTGACCTGGAACCATAAGCTATAGCACCCCAAACCATAACTCCAACAGTGTGATGAACATGTCTTTCAACAAAAAACTGTGGATTCCTCCTTTCACCACGTCGCCTTCTAACCCAGGCACGACCATCGTGCATGCCTAAACAAAATCGAGGCTCGTCACTAAAGACAATACTGTTCCATTCCTGATCCCAGAGTGACCATTGTCTGCACCACTCAAAGCGATTACGTCGGTGTTAAAGGGAGGACCCAGTGTGGCCGGTATGAAAACAAGCCAAAACTTCTCATTCGTCGGTAAACACTTCGCATGCCAATACGTCTCCGTGTTCTGCAAACCATTCATTTGCAATGGACCTGGTAGTGGAGAAACGGTCCCTTAAGGCCAATAATCTTAGGCGGCGATCTTCACGGTCTGTTGTTCTACGGCGGCGTCCAGTGCCCCTTGCTCTTTGCGTACGGCCTTCTCGAAGCCATGCCTGACAACACCTAACCACAGTGTCTACTTTTCTTTGTACTCTAACTGCAATTGCCCGAAAAGAAAGTCCAGCTTCCCGAAGTCCCACTATACGGCCCCTATCAAACTCACTAAGTTGACGAAATCGTACAGGTCTCCGTACTCTAGGCATCGTAACCGATCGTAAAGGATGTCAAGAACCAAAATCCGCCAACGTTGATTCTTTACTGCGGCTGAAATAAAATATTCATTTTTAGAGCGTTAGTGAATTAAAAAAAAGCAGTATAAAAACCGGAATGTCCAACTGATAAGGCTGAAAATTTTTTCACTTGTTATTTACAGTAAGATAAATACATTCACCAACTTTTATTAAAATAAAACCATTTAAACTGGGTGTTCGGATTTATATGTCACTTAGTATAATTTCCAGGATGAATAAGAAAAAGCAGATGCGCAACTAATTTATAGCTTTGCATACATCAACTGAAGTAAGTGTATTTGAGACAATACCAAATATGTAATTTCTCCACGTTTTGCTACCAGACCCCTTTCGAGAAAGTATGGTAATCGCGAAAATGTAGAATTTGAGATACGTTTTATAATGTTATGTGACATGTACATCACAAAAGAACGTGTCAATCATTTCTGTCTGCCTGTCTGTCTGTCTCTCTGTCGGTAATCCTTGGCCCCGCTATAACTTGGACTTGCAGTTTTTGAACATCAGTTTCGTGGCAGCGAGCCAAAAAACGAATGAAGTAAAAACCGATCGACCTTGGTTTTTTGACATTTTACAAGTGCCTGATCGTTTTCAGGAAAAAACTTGCAGGACTTGAAAATGAGGCTTGAGGATTGTAGGGCATTGGATATTGCAAATGTTGCATTTTTTAATTGGTGAGAGACTCAGCAATTTGTGTTTTCGGTAGCATTTTACACCTATTAGACACAACATCACATATAATGTCACATGGTGATTACGTCTGTGACACCAATCACTCAGCAACAATAGATATCCTTTACCTGCGGAAGGTCCGATACGAATGCAGCAACGCCGACGGCGCCCCAGCCGCAGGCGTACGAAAGTTATCCAGATATTTTGGAAAAAGATTAAATCAACAGTTCAATCATATTCATTATGTAACATCACCGGCTATATCAGTTTCCATAGCGAGCACTAATTTCGAAAATGGCCATGAATAAACACTTAAGTGTCGCAATATCCTTTTTGGGGTCGAGAAAAAGGTCTTTTTGGGATCTTCTGTTAAGCTCAGTAAAAAAACAGACCTGAGATTCAAGATCTACATACCCAATTTACTCAAAAAGCGGATACGCAAACATGTCGGTGATCTCAAATCAACACCTCGTAAGTCCGAAAAATGTCGATTTTTTTATTTTGTTCTGTCTTGACACCTGTATGCATAAATCGACATTTTCGGACTTACGAGGTATTGATTTGAGATTGTCGATGCCTCCCGAATAAGAACCATCGATATGGATTTTCTGAGAGTATTCCTGTATGCATACAGGAATCAAAATAGAACAAAATCACAAAATCGGCATTTTCGGACTTACGAGGTATTGACTTGATATCGTCGATGTGTTTTTGTTCTATAGCATGACATTAAACTTCAAATTTCGGTTGAGGGTGCATTTACGCAAGAATTTTTGAGAATTGTCGTGGTTGCTTTAAAGTTTCTCTAGTCAAAATTCCCAATTCCGTGATCCGTGGTTACGACAATGCTAAGATGTTATTAAGTATTATGTGGATTGTGGAGTCGGAAAACGTAATTTTCGGGCCCTTCCGCTGTTCTTATCCAAAAACTGACGTCAAATTCCAGCTCCAAGAAGGCGATTTAAGGAAGAAACCGGTTTTGGTTAGGAGTGCAGATATGCAACGATTTTTGAAACTCCTTATACATTATATTTTTGTAGTTCATACATACCATTTTTATCAGAAATTCTGAGTAAGTATACCTTTTCAAACTTCTAGGTGGTAGACATGCAACCTGGCAAATGTGATGAAGCATTCGCTTATATCCCAGATCTAGGAGGCTATGGTATCGTAGTTTACTCATACAAAGACAACGATTCATGGCGAGTCAAGCACAACTTCTTCCATTTTGATCCTTTGCAAGGCGATATGACGATCGGAGGTGTCAATTTCCAGTGGACTGATGGTGTGTTTGGATTAGCTTTGGGAAATCCGGAGCAAAATGGGTGAGTTATGAAAATGTCTGTGTGCATAGTGTATAAACAATTGATGAATGTATTCTTCCTGAAGATAGACAACAATATATTCTATTCCGGCGTCCAAAGAGGGATCTGAAAGATGCTAGCGCCATCTATGAGACAGCAGCATACGCAAAAATGAATTTAGGGACACACTTTAGAAAGAGTTAAAGTTTTTGGCTCTGCTACACCCTCATAAATTACGTTAAAATATTCAACCCCTTTTTGCCTCATTAATGCGTATTTTAATTGGGTATCATCACGTGGAAATAGAAACAGAGATAACTTCTGGACGCCGGTAAATAAGATATAGTTAGATATCTTTAGACAGAACGTTAGAACAGTCAAAACAGGGACTTTTAATGATGGGAAAAATGCTTCTATGTGACGAAACAAATCGGCACGGGTATCACATCTCTTGAAAAGTGACATTATGCCGATTTTTTTTGACACTATGCTTGTTTCTTTTGACATTATGTAGGTTTTGTCTACAATATGTTAACTTAGCACTTAGTTGTACGTGTTGCCTAAACGTCATAAGGCTTGTTATCAATCTTTGGCTCTGATGTGATGTAAAATCTGCTTCTGAGATGGCAAGTTGTATGTGTTGATGATAATTACATTGGGTTCTTGTCTCAAATACACTTAATTGAGATTCAAAGCTAGAAATTAGTTGAGCATCCACTGTTTCTTATCCATTCTGGGAATTACATATATAAATTTCCTGAAATCCAAAAATGAGAGAGATAAGAAGTAATTATATGCACTGTACACTGTCGAATTACAAGCCATATACATGCTAACAGTAATTACACACAACGCGGGCCTTATTCAGAAAGCACAACATATATGTAAATAACCAGTCATATTCGGCATATTCAGTAATGATTTTCTCACACAGCAAATATCACTGATTTTATGCACATGCAGACCAATAAACATAATCATCCAGATGCGATCTTGCTATTCAACCAACTTTCTTCTCAGAGATAAAAACTAAAGATACGGATCACTCAGCCTCACAAACCTATGCAACCAAGAACGCGTGTAGTTCAGTTGAGTGATTCCTCCATAGATGGACGTTCACAACGATCCTAGTGAGCAAACGTGGAATTACTGTTTGCGCCCTAAAAACTACCTAGTCTGCAAGTTGACATCTTATAGGTTTTTTTGACGTTTTATTGGTTTTTTACATGATACCCGTGCGGCAGTTCTTGCCGAATGTTTGTAACATACATGCATTTAATGATAACTCCTTCCAAAGGAATTCTTATGAAAATGTAGGTGTAAGAAACTCATCATGAGATCTTTGTGCATAAACAACAATAAAAAGATGTCGAGAAAAGATTTCTTAATTTTGACCATTCATTGTATTTCAAGCACCACATCACAAAAGAAAGCTTGCTTTAATTGTTTTTATGTTTGCAGTGACCGTACCGTCTACTTCCATCCACTCGCCAGTACGATGGAATTTTCAGTCAACTCTCATGTGTTGAAGAATAAAACTATAGCCACAGATCCTCACAGCTATAGTCTTTACAAGGTATATCATTTTTTTACATTAGAGTTGTTAAAAAAGCGTTCCATCAGACAACGCTTCTACATTATTAATCGTATCAAATTAGTGCACTTGCCATTTTTTTATAAAACTTTTGCATATCCTCCAGGTTGAAGGCTCGAAAGGACCAAAGTCTCAAACTTCAGAGTCTACAATTGATTCAAAAACCGGAGTGATGTTTTTCACTCAGTTACAAAAAGATGGAATTGCCTGTTGGAATACCAAAATGCCATTGGATCCTCCCAATGTTGGAATGATAACTCAAGACAATGAAAAGCTGATTTTCACTAACGACATTACTGTAAGTTTATTATTTTACAATATGTAGGAACCCAAAAACCATTAGATATGACAATTCGTTTTTTATTCACGATTTTGGAATTTATTTTGTTGCAACTAAAAGGGCTTCAGTGTGGGTCCAAAATCTTCAGCATCTTAGGTGTTTTCTTTTAGTGACGTACAAAATATCTTAATGAGTCGGTTTGATTGACTTTGTTTTTATACACATGTCGTCACTCTTATTTCAGATTGACGGAGATCGGAACCTATGGATGCTGTCAGATCGAATGCCTCAATTCATCTACAGAAGTTTGGATGCAAGTCAAGTGAACTACAGGATATTCAAGGTGCCAGTTGATGAGGCCATTAAGGGTACTCCCTGTGATCCTATGCATCATCAGAGTACTACAGTTAAAAATACGCAGTAGATTTAACATTTTGTAACGATATTTTTCTAACAGTATTCTTTTGTTGAACTTTCGTAAATAAAGGATATTAAGACTATATTCACATCTCTTATTTCTCGGATTTCCGAAATAGAATCAAGTCCCACACTCCTACATCGCACACATAGTAAGCTCATTAATCCACTGGAAGAATATAATAAGGAATACAGTCAATAAAATGTATAAGGGACAATTTTTAATATTTTTGGTTGTTTAAACTACTTTCACTATTGCAGTAATTTTTATAAATATGTAATGTAATAATTCTCTGGGTTTGATACTGTGATACTATGAAAGGGTGGCGTCTTTCCTGTCCCTAGATACCTCTTTGACTTTCGACGCTCTGAAAGTTTTCGTTTAAGTATAGGTATGCAAAAAATAATATGAGTAGTAATAATGTTAATAGGTATAGGTAACCTAAATATGTTCATATAAAAATGCAATACAGCCCATGAGCAGCTACTTAAGTATGAAGAGAAAAAAGGGAAATTGAATAAAATTATACAGCACAAAATGTAACCAGTTAGCATGTGGTACTTTTCTTCATTTCTAGAATCAGATGCTGGTGCTATCAGATACAGGATGTACTTTTTTCGGACTATATAAAAATAAAATTGATGATGGTATTTCAGAAACGAACCTTGGGGCACCAAATTTAAAAGCACCGTCATGTAGTGCCTGAAAAGTGCCAATGGAAAAGTCTCATTAGTTTTTTGATAATTTTGAGAAAGAATTAAAAGAAATATGATTTGGCCAAATTTTAGTTTTTCCCAAACATGCCAGTAAGAAGTGAAAATTTTACAAGTTTTTCAACAACATGCACGCCCCAAAGAACGTAGCTTTTTTCTAATTTATCCTAAGCTGTATCTCCCTCAGGTATTGAGATCCCCAGGGATCAGATCATTGTCTTGGACACACTGTATATGGAAACAGCAACAGAGACATCACTTATCCGAAAATTATACTATATCATACAGTCAGAAGTGCAAAAAAATAGCTGTATCTATTATAGCAATCTGTGGCAGTAACAACGAAACTTGAATAATCGCTTCGAGATGGTGCTGTTACTCGTTTTCAGCGCTATCTAGTGATAAACCTTTTCAAATGCTAGTCATGTCACATAAATGTACCATACCGTATCCATACACAGCGTTAGTTAGAACCCTAGCAATGAGATGGCGCTGGCAACAGACGATTAATGATGATGGAAGATAGGAATAATGTGCATTTATAACAAAGATTTATCAGTTTTCTGTCAATTACGTACTCATTGAAATATGCAAACCATTTCTAGATTCCCTACATTCGTCACTTTAAATTAACTCTCTCTAGATATTTCAATTTCCAATGATTTCGTTATTCGCCTACTACGAAAATCCAATCACGCCCATCACTATATCGCAGGCGGTGTCGTTGACATTTCTTCCTTGGCATGCACCAGTATGCACCCTAAAATTTCTTGTTCCATGTTCTTCCTAATTTGTTCCGTGGTCCATAAACTTCATTGGTACTTCGTACAGAAAACCAATGTTTATGTAGTTTTTACACAAGTTTTGATAAGATGTAAGTTCACTACAGGCTATGCAAACGTAGTAATCGACATTCTAAAACCGTGTAAAAATACAGTGAACATTCGGATCGCGTGTGTCGTGTAGAATCCCGGGTGGAAAAACGCCGCAGAATAACTGGTGAGTGACTCCTAGCTTTGCTATTTTTAGGGGTTAAATAGAATAATCTTAAGGTGCATCGCTACTTTTCTTGCTTGAAAGCACGCAAGATATACCTAGAAACGGTTTTCCTTCAAATAAATGATCATGTAATCGATGTTTTGATCATGGCAAGCCTTGCTTCTGCTGCATTTACACCGAGGGTAAATCCGATTCGGAACCAGCCATTTGTAAATGCATTACAAGTTTTATATTCTTGGATGTGTCTGCGATTGGTGTTATCTACAGAAAACAGTAATCGTCTCGATATTGCAGCTGAGCAATTCAGTGAGTTATGGTTCTTGTCGATAATGGAAACTGTCATCAAATATGTTATTAATGTTTATTGTTTTGATTATGGTAAGGTCGAAAAACACAGAATGCTATGTATACAACTGTTTATTATTGTATTTACGATGTCTCTGCGGTTATATTTCTCTCATCAGCATTTTACATTTCGAGTGAATTTTATCTCCATTTATCAAAAGCATTACAGAAAGTTAATTTATGGTTCCCAGTGTGAATAAACTGTGAAATAATGTTCATTATTCTAAACCTCAGATTTCTGTGTAGAGCTTAAATGGTTTTCTTCTTTCTAAAATTGCATGATATCTAGTATTTCTCAACAAAAATACATTTATTTGCTTTATCAATACCCATGTGCATTCTGTAAAGACATTCACTAAGCAAGCAAGCTTTGCATCAACTTGGCTGTAAGAGGTTGAACACACCTCTATTTGAATTTCAGAAGACAGAATGTTTCATTTCATCATTGAATCAAGCATTTCAAATATAAACTTCTCATTATTTGATTGAATTTAGCAAAACAACCACATCACAAGTTTAATGAATGTTTCCATAAGGTGCATATTAGTAAGCCTGCTGTTTCCATCAGGTCCGGGCAGTCACTTCATCGCTGATAAAGAGCCTCAATCATAGGCAATTAGTTACTGTCATGGTATTGACTATGAATCGGCAGACATCCCAAAAGGCCAGTAGGCTGCAAATGGTTCAAAATTATCTGTTACCAATATACTATTTCCTGCTTATTACCCATCTTTACCCAAGTAACAGTAATACTAATAATAATCATAATAATAGCATTTATTTTTTCAAATATCCCCACTTTAATAATTATTGCAACAGCACATTTGTTTACTGGATTGGACTGGAATAAATCTAGATACTTTGCCTCCTTTTCTGTTTTATTTAATCTAAATAAAGCCTATTTTGTTAAAAAAATATTTACAAAATAGATTGGGTATCCATACAGTGTTTTATCTAGCTAGAAAGGACATTTCACTGTGTAAAGATAAGTGTCAGCTAAAAATTTGTTTGGCATTTCTGAGTAACTTGTAGCATTCAGGTGGCTAACCTAGTGGCTAATAATAAAAACAGTTATCGTATATGGGATATACTTGTAAATTAACCTCACATTCTAACACTTTTTCACTGCTATGATATTTGTCTTGCCCTTATACTAGCAGTATCAGTGAATTCCACTACATCAAGTAAAATCATGAGTAGCTAAAAGAGAACCACCTACTTGAAAATTGGATACAATTAAAAATGGAAACATAGTTTGGGTCATTGCTAACTGCTGTATTTACTTTTGGATGTGCATATCAGATTTCTCCTCTTGATGTAATCTTGAGGTCAGGTAGTGTTTAGTAGAACTTTGCCATGACCAAGGTTAATATGTATTGTCTTGTAGTCTTGAAAATGTATTTAGAAGCAGATTATTGATTATTATAGATAATTCTGATGATCTTATGTAAGTCAAGTAGTTATTATGTATCCAAACTGTATATGAGACTAATAAAATGCACCAATTGAGAATCATTTTGATAAGGCTTTTTTATCAAACAGATGCTTGTTAGGTTCTTACTTATTTTACATTTGATTGCTGTTAATAATTGTTAAATACTATAGAGCAGCTTTTATATACCTTAGCCTGAGTGTTTATAATTTTTAATAAAAAACTAGAAAAATGGAGAGTGCGACGCTCATTCATTTTAAGCCATTTAATTTCTTTATACGAATTAGATATACGAGTATGATCAAACCTACGCAGACCATATATACGTAGTCATGCCATAAGTTCTGTCCCTCGTTTTCAAACAAGTGTAGACCTGTTAATACTTGTCCGATTGTTTACATTGTGGTGTCAGTTGATTAAGCGCTTTTCGGGTAATTACATATACCTCAGTTTGTATTGATCTCTCGAAGCATAACGATGGAGTGGGGCAAGGCAGAGAACCGTATTGCAGTGATAGCTTTACATAAGTGTAATCACAGTGCTAGTCAGATTTTTGAACTCTTACGCGGCCTTCAAATATCGCGTAAATTTGTGTCTAGGACCATTCAGCGGTACAATGAGACGTCCTCTGTTGATGACAGGCCAAGAAGCGGAAGACCTCGTCAAGTAAGGACTCCAGCAGCCATCAAAGCCGTAAAAGCCAGGATTCAAAGGAATCCACTCCGGAAGCAGAAGATCCTATCCAGGGAAATGAAGATTCCTGTCCGGACGATGTCGCGCATCATTAAACAAGACCTAGGGCTAGGGGCTTACCGGAGACGTACGGGCCAGCGACTTACGGCCACCTTGCGACACATCAGGGCGACAAGATCCAAGAAGCTCTTGGAGAGGTACGCAGCTGGGGGATTCCGAAAGATTTTGTTCACGGATGAGAAAATCTTCACCATAGAAGAAAAATTCAACCGACAAAATGACAAAGTGTATGCAAGGAGTTCACAGGAAGCTTCGGAGATCATTCCGAGAGTTGAGAGAGGCCACCACCCTGCGTCAGTCATGGTTTGGTGGGGGGTGTCCTACGAAGGGGTCACTCAGCTCCATTTCTGTAAACAGGGCGTGAAAACAAAAGCGGCAAACTATCAGAGCGACATACTGGATCCTATCGTCAAGCCTTTAAGTGGTACATTGTTTGCCAACCAACACTGGGTCTACCAGCAGGATTCCGCCCCCGCTCACAAGGCTAAGAGTACGCAGCGCTGGCTGGAAAGCAATGTGCCAGAGTTCATTGCTGCGGAAGATTGGCCCTCAGGGAGTCCGGACCTCAATCCTTTAGACTACAAGTTGTGGGACCTGCTAGAGCAGTTGGCCTGCTCCAAAGCCCACCGTAATATCGAGTCCCTGAAAGCGGATTTGATCCGATCAGCGGCAGCTATTCCTTTGGAAGCTGTGCGTGCAGTGATAGATGAGTGG